TAATTAGTTCAGTAGGAATATTATCGATTCCCGCTGCTTTATATGATTTTAATTTTCCGATAGCTACTTCAACTTCCTCTTTACTTGGTCCTTCTATTAACGGTTCAGCACTCTGGTACTCAGAAGGAGGACACAGATCATAATTTCCCGTATTTAAAATATTGTCAAAGTGGTCCTTAAACTTATTCAATATGTCAACCGGATCGGTCAGAATATTGTTATTATCATCCCTAATTCCAGACGTTACGGGCCCTACATATTTACGTGATCTGTTTATACCTTTGTACATGTCTCTTACGTTATTTTCGATTCTATTAGTTTCTATTTCAATTATTTTATTTTTAAGATACTCCCTTTTTTTATTTTTGAGCAATTTTGTCGTTTCGTTCTTTGAGATTCGGAAGTATTCCAGATTGTCTTCGCTAGGATTATTTAGAGCTTTTAATTTAGCGGTTTTTCTTTTTTCACACATGTTTAAGCAATCTTCATCAAACCACGGTTTGTTATTCTTATTTTCCTTTTTTCCTAGACACGAGTTACCGACCGCTTTAATATTATCCCTGATCTCTATCCATAACTTGTCAATATCCTCGTGGTCCTCGTCAGGAAGCTCTAAAGCTTCAAACCTATTCTTAACATCTAGCTCGAATTGGTTTCTAATTGATGGGTTTTTTAATTTTTCCAAATTATAATTCTCAAAATCGAAACGGTTTTCTTTTCTCTTTTTTATATTAAGTTTTTGTCGAAGTTTCGCGATTACTAATTCATGATCCGACCCACATTCTGCTCCGCGATAAGACCGCACATTAATTATACTGCTTTGCCAGCTATGTTGTATCAAGATATGATCGATTTGATTTCGTGTTTGCGAATCCGGTGATGTCCAAGTATATTTATGAATATCCTTGTGTTTAAACGTCGTACTTTTAATTATCAGGTTTTTCGAGATGGCAAAGTTTATTAGACGGATCCCATTATCATTACTATATTCGTGCAAACTTTCTTTACCAATCGTCGGAATATAAACTTCTTCCCTTCCTACCTTTGCGTTCGCGTCACCTACAATTATTTTCATGTAGTTTCGTGGTAGTTTATCATAAACCCATTCGAGTTTATCGTAAAATTCACTTTTGACTTCATCGTCACTGTCTTCGGTCGGACAATGTATGTTTATTAATGCGATTTTAGACCAACGTCCCTGAAATGTAGCTACCGAAATTCTATCACTAAAGAATTGTACGTCCCTCAAAGCGGATAGTAATCTACGCCTAATTAGAAACCCGGTACCTAAACAATGATTCCCGCTTCCTCCGTACCAAATAGTGTACTTCCCTTCCCTCATCGAGCCCTCCCCTGGCCAGCGAACCTCTTGCAGAGCCACGACATCCAAATTGTACCCATTTACCTCATTCCCGACCGATTTTAGCCCCCCTGCTGTGTTTAAACTCCTTACGTTCCACGTACCAATATTTAAATCCCTATATTTCAACTTGCGCCATGAATCCCCTAAAGCAGTCCCCACCCGGAGACCCGAACGGGGGACTAGTTTACTTCCGGATAATGAGCGTTTTACCTTAGGGAGATCCATGACTTTTTGTGGTGTTTGGTGAACTAAAGATATGTGAGTAGGGCGTTCAATCCTACGTCACACCCTCCAGCAAGTCTGGTGGGCCCCTACCTCCAGCAAGTCTGGAGGTCCCCTCCCTCCAGCGAGTCTGGAGGGCCACTCTCATTGTTGGTCAGCGAGTCCATCGGACTTAGCCGGGAGGAACTTCCAAGGAATTTCCACCGACCATCCCCACATCCGCCACCCGTGGGACGCTCCCCATACGCGGTAATGAGCCCGCGCGAGGTTAAGAACGATTAACGAACAAAAAAAAAAAAAAAAAAAAAAAAACACGATTAGAAAACTCATGTTTGAAATTATATTTCTTGAATAATTTTTTTATTGATTATTTGCTAATAAAATAAATGTATACATTTTTTTAAATTTTAATTAAATGTTGGTGTAAGTAGTAAATTATTTGAAATTTGCACAAGTATAAGTGATAATGTTTTTAGTGATGACTTTTTATTATTTGTTTACAGTTATAGAAATTGAACTTTAATTTATTAATATAGCTAAGAAATAATAAACATTATGAATAACGAATAAAAAGATTTTCAAGTTGTTCTTTATTAAATAATAATGCAGTCTCAATCATCCTCATGCCCGGATTAACCGTTCCTTTAAGTCTGATATTTTAAACTTGAAAATTTGACGGGATTCAGAGGTAAAAGTATTATTATTGATATTTTAATAGGTTAATTTAAAATTTCCAATTTCTTTGTTGGTTGGTTGGTTGGTTGTTATATTATAAGGCATAAAAACTGTTGGTTATCAATACCGTTAATTAAGATTATATATATAATATCTGCAGGTTGTGAATAATAGAAATTAAATTAAATTAAAATGCACGGTAAATTTATAGTTATTAATATTAGGTTCAAATTTAGATCATTAAAAATATAGGAGTGGGGTGCTGCGTGAGAGGTCATATATTTTTAAAGATTCCTTCTTCAGACAGTCAACATATGCCTGGACTCAAGATTTTTTCATCATTTCCAAAGGCAGTTGATGAAGTTTCTGTTATTCCCCTTTTGCTTAATTCACATATGTAAAAGACACATCTCCCAAAGATATGGACCACTGTCATTCTCTCTCCACACTTCCGACAAATGGGTGGGTTTTTTTTTGTAATTAAGGGATGGTCGGTATGCCTGATATGTCTTATTTTCTAAATAAATTTCTTTTGTTTATTATCTGATATATTTGATTGTATAACAGTAATTTTTTTTCATTAGCAATAATGAATGATTACTTTATAAAGTAGGAACTTGGGAAATGATTTGTTTCCTTCAACGTCTTATTTTCTTAGTCGCAGGTATACGAGTATGGTGCTTGTCGAGACTTCACGCCTACTCTTGTTTTTCATGACCTCCAGCGAAGCAAGCTCATCCTCTTCCATTATCGCTGAGTCAGCCAATGCAGAAAATGCAACATTATGCCTGTCAAAGTGAAAACGTTAATAAAAAAAACCGCTTACGTGACATGTATTGTTTCTGACGGTCTTAATCCACCGTGTGAAGAACCTTTCGCGACTGATGTTATATTCTTTACTCCACCTGATGTGTTCTCATCACGGCGTGTTTATGACGCAATCAATGCCGTTATTGCTGTGTGTTTTCTCTCTTTTTGTACGAGAAAATGTGATGACCGTGGTCTTTAAGTATTCAGGAAACTTGACTTTCTCTTTCAATATTTGAGTTGTATTGAATGGTATTATATAAGGTTTATTTTAGGAACATATGTATGACAGACAATAAATATATATTAGATATTATGAGTAAGGTACCTCGACGGGTTACGCGTTCGTGTCGAGGCTGAAATGTGGTTTGAAATATTATAAACAAATATTTCTAAAGGAAGGAGATGGTCCGGGGTGGGGGTCATAAATAGGTTAAATAGTAGTAAAACTATTTTATTAAAATCCAACGTTTCGACCCGACTTTCCAGGTCTTCTTCAGGGCTAGAACGGACAAGATACAAAAAGATATAGAATTGTGGAAGTTACATAATATTTATACAAAAAATTATAAACAATGTGAATAAGCTTATTAAAATTATAAACAGTAAGTACATTAAAATATAAACAGATTAAGCTAAGTAACAAGATCTTAAACTGAAGTAAATAGATAAATTGTTATAGTGTAATATATAATAAATGCAAATGTGAATATACTTCTACAGATCTACAGGAAAGATGGAAAGAAAAGGAAAAAGGATATAGTATGAAATAATAGACATAAAGGAATGTGGAGAAAAAAAAGAAAACCAAAAAATTTAATAAATACGTAAATAAAATTAGAAGAATAAAATCAGACACTTACAGATGTGTTTAGCTATCAGTTTCACTTAGAACTGGAAAACCAGAGTAAGGGCAGGTATTGGGGAATTCGCTGACTTGTTTGGGTAATGGGGAAAAACCTAGAATATTACAGTATTTAAAATTTGAAGATATGGATGGATAAAAGGGAACAAATACTATATCTATGAAATATAAATAATAGTTTTGCCACTATTTATGTCCGCCACCCCGGACTATTTCCTTCATTTACAATGCAATGGTAAACTATTAAATATTCAATAAATATTTCTATTTCCCTAACTTCTCCACTTTAATATTTATTGTTGTTTACTTTCAAATTATTTCTTTTAAGATAATATACTTGTCTGTACTGATTTCGCCTATCTCCTGGCATGGTTTACTTTGCTTTAGCCCTTGCTCTAGATTAGTATTATGAGTTATTATTCGAATTCAGTTTTAAATGATCAAGGTAACAACTCACAAACAAAATAAATAAAAACGTAATTTACAAAATGACATACATACCAGAATTTAAAAACAAAATTACGTAAGTTTTCAAATATTATGATCTACCGGAACTCCAACATGCAATGTACAACAGGAACAAATTTTGTAAATCACTAACACAAAATAGACAATTTGGATAAAAAAAATGAAATATACAAATTAAAATGTCAAAACTGCCAAACAATTTACTCATCGAAATCATCAAAACATCTCGAACTGTAGAAAGAATTAACACCAAAGCATTAGCACACCACAATACAAAATTTCAACACCAACAAACCACAAATGTAATGAACAATATAACAATGGAAAACTACTTGAGGCCATCCACTACGTCACAAAAAAAAAACAATAGAATAACTGTTAGTTTCAAAACTGACACAAAACACCTGGGAACACGCTACTCAGGCATGCTTAACAAAATTAAAACATAATAAAAGTAATAAATCCAACAAAACCAACAGACATATAACCTATATAATATAAGACAGTAGGTACTTGACAAAGCAAATGTTTATTGTTAGGTAAGAAATGTGTTACTCCAGATATTAGTTATGAAACAAAATGTAAAATATAATATTGGCAATGGAGCCCACATACCAAATGGGTAAATATAATAGAAAATCATAAAAATTTCAACCATGTAACTACATATATTTATAGTTATTCTTGTTATATATAAACTGAATTATAATTGAATGCGACAAAAAGCTCGGAGGATGGGAAAACCGTCCCGAAACGTAAGCGTGTGCTATTACAAATAACAAATGGAAGTTTTCTTTGCTGAATTCATAATAGATTGAAGTATGATTCATGATGATATTTTATTGGATTTTTCTTAATACAGCAAACAAGATTTTCCATTGTTTCTTATTAATGTCTTAATTCAAGCCTGCATTTATATGTTGTTCAATTAAAAAAAAATGACTTATAAGAAAAGGATATACAAATATAGGGTTCATAACCGGATATCCTTAGGGTGTGTTTTTGCATCATTTACAGCTGGACTCTTTATAATATTATTAAGAGAATGTATTTTCCCACGGTGAGATTTCAATTGCAGTGTTGGAAACCACCCGCTTTCATTGAGGCCATGCATAATATAATAGTACCCAGACTGAATCAAATGCCTGATCGGGTCCTGAGAACTGGGCTGCAGGTTGAACACTGGCAGTCCAACTTTACTTTTTTTTTTTGTATTTCCTCTGACGCACTTACTGTGATGTTTAAACTATTAATAAATTAATTAGTGAAGTTGAACAAGAGTTTGAATATTCAAAAATCGTGTCTGTAACATATATTATTGTGCATTAATTAGTAATTTAGTTGATATTATTCTTTTCATTGTTCTCTTAAAACTTTTACTAGTTGTTCAATCAAAAGAATTCGATTTTTTTTTATCATTTCTTCTATGTTTTCTAACTTCTAAATACGTCCTTCATCCGTATGTTTGTAAATTCTTCCACTTTGTTCTTGTCCCAATACACTGCTGTTTTACAAGGTATCGTTTTTATCCTAATCTATTATTCTATTTACACCTCTTACCCTCTTACATCCCTGAACACTCTTGCTCCATCTTCTCTGACGATACAGCAATGCAGGTTTCTCCTAAAAATCCAACTTCAATATCTTTTCTCCTTCAGGATCATTTATTCGGTATTAAAGAGTAGTTCTCTAATGGATAATTTAAGTAACCGCTACCCAATCAAGCGATGTAGGTTTTTATTCAAAGAAATCTTCATGGCAAATTATTACTTTTTTTTCGTATACTTTCGACACCTCGCCATTTCTGGCATACAGAGAAAGTTCAAATTCATTCCACGGGTCCTCCGCAATAAATATGTAAGCCCGACGAGGCTCAGTTTGAACAGGCTTCACTACGTTCAAGTATGTTAACCATCTATGTTCAAGAATGTTAGCCACCACGGCCTCAGTCCATCCATAACCATTGATAACAAACCAACAGTTTATTTAGGACATTATTAAACTCTGTAATTATATATACTATAAGGCAGCAATAAAGTTGAAGTTTATATTGTTTAAGATTGTAATTATTTAAATAATTCATGGACTTTCCTGAACCTTCTCTGGCTAAAAATGCACGTAACTTTTTCGGGAAGCCTTGGGATATCCTGTTGTTCTTTTATGTCGTCTACATGTGCGGCAAGAGACTAATTTGGTTCAAATTTTCTCAGGCTGAACATCGTGAATAAGAAAGATTGTTTTTTTAATTTAATTATATTAATTTTGCCTATCTAATGTATTTGCATTCCTTTGGAGGCACAGTATTTTATTATATTGTTTTATAAAGTTAAGTGAGAAAGACAGCCCTGAACATCCCATAACGAACGCAGGTACAATCGCGTGTAGCAACCTGTTGTGGGCCGTTCGCGTGAGCTACCCACTGCACTCTAATCTCTTGGCTCTCCGCTAGTTTTTATAAGATTGAAACCGACTTTTTTTTCCTAATGCCTTATTTACGCCCGTACTAAATGCTAACTAGCTCGGCTGCTTGCCGAGTCGAGCTTCATTTACATTAAAGGGGTAGTTTTGTTTTGTCTAGAATTGTTAGGCTAATAGGTTATGAGCAAAGGATGCAACATATACAGAATTACAATCTTGCATGTATAATTATTTAAAGAAGAATGAGCTTCAAACATAAAATTCAAACAAGCATCATCAATATTTGTAACAAGCATAGAACATATATGTATGTCAACACTTGATGGGAAAATAAGGTTATCGTCTCCCTCTAACATCGATGGCGCATGGCTCTCCTCTTCTTGAAAACAGCTCATGCGAAAATATATATAGAAAACAATTTCCCTCAGTGAAAGTTCCTTCCATATTTGAAACCTCACAAAAATATGGTTCCCTCCAAAATACCATAACTCCATCAAAATGTGTCTCCCTCAAAAATTTTCAACCTCCATCTCGGTACTCAATATGTTTGTCCACAAATTAAACATGGGACAAAATATTGTCCGGTCTCCTTCGATGTTTTTGTTGAACGTTTGTTTAGAAACCACAGAAATAGATAATTGAAATTGAAAAAGAAATCAACTTGACACTTAAAGAGTCTTGCTTTTTTTTTGTATTATTTACTTCGTTGATTGGTGTGGACAAATATTGAAAGAATGAACACAATAAAGCAAAACCATCTCGTCATCTTATATAAAAAAAAGAAAGAAGAAGAAACAAAATATGTAAAATTATAAAACGATAATAAAAATTATGGATATATAATGATTTGAATAAATTGAAAATTATAAAAAAAAGAAATTGGTGACGTATTTTTGTTACGCGTGACATCATTATTATAACAAAGACTTTAGACTTAAGAAATAATCGGGATTATCAGTATACCGCACCCAAGTGAAAAAACTCTAAAAAACAGCAATAAAATTAATTATACAAATAAACATTTTTTTAAAATTAACTCTGGTCCCAATCGAAATTCAAAATTATTAAATTAAAACTATTAAAATTATATTATTGAAATATATAATTATATTGAAACTAATCTTTCTTATTAAATGATAAACTGGTAGTTTACTATTTTTTTTTTCGTTGTTGTAGAACGCTGAAAACGCCGACTCGTTATGAATAGATAGCGCTGTAGCTTTCTCCCTACTAATCGTGCTTACTAAATCATAGCCTGGCATAATATCTTTACTAATGACTAAAACTGAAATTAAAAGCTGTCTCAATGAAAGCACAACAACACTAATTTAAGCAAAATCCATTACCAATAGTCTTGTAACCAGCAGTTGCATGTCAGTTTTCAGTGTTCAGTTCTCTATTTTTTAAGAATTTTCATTTAATGCTGATAGATAGAATGTAATGTTAAAGAAGATAATATTTTAAATGCCACTGAAAATATGTTGAACGTTGATATATCTACTTAAAACCATTTGGACATACGCCTCACAAATTTACGATTTAGCATACAAAGACTCATTTACAAAAACTGAAATATTTTCACTACTGCTGTCTGATAACAGTAGCTCCCTAGTTCATAAACTACAAAACGTTACAAACCGACATAAGACAACTAACTATCGGCCAAAACATATCCTTCCCCGGAGGTGAAGGACGCCATGTCACATTTACTTATAGACGATATTAGTAATTTTTTGAGTGAACCATTTTATCATTTTTTAGTATGATGTTCACGAGAAGCCCTTAAGATATTCTAAATTTTTGTTTGTTTTTTCCTCACTCTCCAACGATTTTATTGAGCAAATTCAATATAAACATATACATTATATATACCACATTTTTTTTTGTTTTATATTTTTTTGCTTTTCGGGCTTCAATTCTTGTTACTTTCTTACGTTCATATCATTTAAAGTTAAATGTGATAAGTCCAAATCGTCAATATTTGAAAAAAAAATTTAAAACAAGTCTATTATTTTATTTGTATTTAAACTGACCACGGAAATAATCACATAAGGAAAATCTATCTATATAAACATATTGATAGTTTGTTAGGGAAATAGACTTTTATGAATTTTATACATGGCGTTGTATTCCGTTGCCTTTCGTTCCTAGAGACTCTAACCATGTTTTTAAGTTGACATGCTAGTACATTTATCATAGTTTATATAGTATTTTTTACGTTTTTTTTTTAATTTAAAAAAATTCACATTTTATTAGACGAAAATTACGAAAAACTGCGTTTTATTGGCTCTGAGAACTCGCTCATTTTACAGCACAGGCGGATCTACGATGGTTTCCGAGCTGAAGCCCCCTTCTCCACCCCCCAAAAAAATGATAAAATATAATCATGTTTTACAGAAAAAAATATTTAAAACTATCTCTTAAAGTATTCTTGTTCGTGTAAATACATTTAATAGGACTTCAAGAACCATTTAAACATCATTTCATACAAATAGTTTTTTTTTTCAAATTAATTATCGTTTTACATGTATGAATAAAATAGCTTTCGGGCTGAAGCCCCATCCAAAATTACATTCTGGATCAGCTAGTGTACTACAGTGATTAGTTATTTAATGTATATATCTCTGTGTATGTTTTTAATTTACTTATCTTTAAGTTTTATTTATTTTAAAGGAAAGAGATGGTCCGGGGGGTGGCGGTCATAAATAGGCTAAATAGTGGCAAAACTATTTTATTAAAAGCCAACGTTTCGACCCGACTTTGCAGGTCTTCTTCAGGGAGGTGTGTTCAGCTAAGAGTTTCACTTAGAACTGCATCCAGTTCTAAGTGAAACTGAACAAGTTTCAGACGTTCAAAGTCAGGTCGAAACGTTGGCTTTTAATAAAATAGTTTTGCCACTATTTAGCCTATTTATGACCGCCACCCCAGACCATCTCTTTCCTTTATAATGCAACGGTCAACTATTAAATATTCCATATTTATTTTAATTTATTGTTTATACTTTTTGATTATTATTTAGTTGTTATTTTGCCTATTTTATTTTAGATTTTTTTATACAAGGCATGATTATGTTTTTACCTCACTATATTTATTGTCTATGTGACAGAATGTTATATTACAAAATATATAAATGAAATATAAAATAGTAATCAATTCATCAAATTCTTCTCTATAAGTGTATCGTAAAAGGTTTTCCACGATTGATAGATTTTTGTTTATATACTACATATATTTATTTAGAATACCAATAGTATATAAATATTTCATATTATTTCTTACTCTCTTGGCCAATCTTTTTTACAGATCATTTTAAACCGATAGATGTACATCAGGCTTGAGGCTTGAGGTCACAATTTTAGTGTTCACATACAAGTTTGTTTGAAAATGTCCAAATAAAAAAAGCCGATTTTTTTTCATATGATATATCTTAATAAAATTTGTCAAAATAATAAAATTATTATTTTATTGTTTCCTTAGTATTTAACTGTAGTATAGTTTTTAATCTATAGCTAATTAAATATTTTAAAAAATGGATACCTTATTCTGAATGGTGACCGGTTGCGTATAGTTTCATTAGATTACATTGTAAATGGAAAAATCCATTTTAAAAAAAGGCACAAGTATCCAACATACAGATGAACCTGCCAATGTTTCGCCAATTCAGGCATCATTAGGACGGAAAAAAACAAGATCACATATATGCAGAAAGAAACAATGATGAAATGAAAACATTCCCAAGTCAACAAATGCAAACTGAAGGAAAGAGAAGGTTCCATGAACACAGCAGAGGAAGGTTATATTAAACAGGTGATTAGCAGTGATCAATAGAAGAAAATTTGCATACCTAAAACATAATAACACAAAAATGATTTAATTAAATTAAATAATAATGTAATAATAAAAAAAAAAGGAAAAACTAATAAAGACAAAAGAATAATCTCGAAGGTGTATATAACATCCATACTTAACAAAACTCAGTGAATACTCTCCACAAACAATATTACTAAAATAAGCATATGGCTTGAAAAGAGACAAGCGCTGATTACGTTGTAAATGGAAAAATCCAAGCCATAAAGCCATGAGTCAATACAAGTTTTATTGACTGATAATAAATAATTCAACTTGGGCATTTTTCATTTATGGTTTAATTAAAATTTCAATGTTCCCTAAATGTAATTACGCAGAATCTCTTGCACTAATTACCCAACAAGCAGCACACAATGAATGGGATGTTTTTCTCATCCAAGGATTACGCTTATGATGTATATCCATTGACGCAATTTGTTCCAGTTCTCATTATCCGCAATTGTCCTCTTCCACGGCGTAGGAGGACCCTTGGGAACTGATTATGAAATTGATTCAATTGTGCCCGTTTAAAAAACGCTATATGAATGAGGAGTAGTGAAGAACTCTTATGAATGGCATAGTGTCTTATTTCTTAATTCACACACAATGATAGCATAAAATGTGAGATGAACCTGTCATAAACTCTTGGTATTTTTATTCCTAAAAATATAATTCCAGAATTTAGATGGTAATAAATAGACTAAATAGTGGCAAAACTATTTTATTAAAAACCAACGTTTCGACCCGACCTTGCAGGCGTTCTTCTGGGTTAGAACGAACAAGATACAAAAAGATATAGAGAATTGTGGAAGTTACATCATATTTAGATAAAAAATTATAAACAACGTGAATAAACTTATTAAAATTATAAACAGTAAGTACATTAAAATATCCTAATCAGTGAGTACATTAAAATATACTAAAATAGCCTGAAGAAGACCTGCAAAATCG